ATATAACTATATATACTCGTAATGTAACTACTAATTATTTAAGGTCTAAGTTAGATCATGGTTTCTGTTATTTTTGTTTTTGGTGCTTAAAGTTAAAATTCATCATCAACACGCTCGCACGCACGCACGCTCACACAGACAGACACAATTACAAACGAATCAGGACAGCAAGGACTATGCAGCCAGCGATCCATTCTGTTCATCTTCTAGGCGACAGTCAAGCGAATGTCCTGCATTTTATGCTGCTGCCACGAATGCGCTGGCTGCCGCGGCGGTGCTGTATTGTACAAGGTAACCGATGCGATGTGATTGTTCGGCATCACTTCAAAGATTAGATCCTGATAGCCATAGCAGAAGGTCGAGCCAAAGGGATTCGCTGTATTCGTGGAGCTGGCACGATGCAACACCACCGGACGCTCGGACGTTGCCAGCGACCCACTAATTTCATCCCATTTGGTGTAGGCAGTTATATTGACATGATCATGCTTGTTGTCGCTCTCGCTCGACTGATGATCTGTCTCCAGCTGAAACTGGAATTCACAGCGATGGTACATATTGAAATTAAAGTGGCCCGGATAATTGGTGTGCAGTATGAACTTCTTGCAGGTCTGTGTGCGGGCATCAAACAGCACATCGATGCCCAGGGTGAAATAATTGAAGAATATATCGCTGCGTTTGCTCTGCACTTGGCGATTGACGCTCGAACTGTGAATCTTCATTTTGTCCTCACTCTTGAAGAAAATGCGATTGGGCGCACCCAAATTGGTGGCGACATCCTCACAGCTATCGCCGAAGAGCAGCTCACGAGTAAAGCACTGACGGCGTGGCTCTAGCGCCCGACCCGAACCCTCCGTAAATAGTTTCAGCTTCAAGCCCTTTGTGTGGCCATATGAGGTCCGCAGAACGGTGGCCGATTCCAGATACATTTGTCTATGGTAGCAGGACAATGGCAGTGATGGAGCCCGATTCTCGGCCACATTGCTGCCCGCGTACAATGCCATTTTGGAGACTACAGGCGAGGCGCCATTCAGAAAGACCAGCGAGCCCAATCCATGGCCATAGCCGGAGTGCAATTTGCTGTCCACGGGGAAATAGAAGCTAAGTCCGCGAAAATGCAATGCAAAGAGCTGTTTGGCCGCATCATAAACACCTGGATGGGTGGCTCCGAACGAATGCTCGATCTGCTCGATGCTGGGCAACACTTCAGGTGAATTGAAATAGACGCCGCAATATTTCAGCTTCACCAATTTCATGTTGAACACTTCAATGGTTTTCAGACGCTGAACAACTGGATCAAAGATCAAACGTAATCCATCCTGCGGCAGATTTATGATGATGTCCACGCCCAACGGATTCGTATCCGAGTAGAGCACTTGAACACCTCTTATGATGCCCACCTGCGACTGTATGATGGCAATCGCTTGAGAGAAATGCATTCCCAGCACAAACTCCCACGCATCGCAGCCAAGCGAGATCTCAGGCACAATTTCCAGGTCGAGCATATTCTGTGACAAAATTTGTTTTTGGTTTTTATTTATTTTGATTTTTGTTGTAATTTTACAATTTTTTTTGCCACCTTACTGACCTTGATGTGTGAAATCAGCTGCGACCCACGAAAATATGCGCAATTTCGTTTTGTTTTTTGTTATTGTTTTTGTCTGTTATTTGTTCAAGTCCGTTGTTTCTTCTTATCCTCTGACCCTTGTTTCGTGTTGTTTTTGGTGTCTGTGCTATTATTCTTGCTTATTATTTTGCACGTCCAATTGTTTGATTGCGTAAACGTGTAAGTTAAGGGCGTTTTGCTATTTATTTTACAGCTTTGCGTATTTTCTAAAGTTTATTATCGTTTTCTAATTCACACTCCGAACAAAGGCAAAAAAAAAGGCAAATGCGCAGCAGAAATACAAATGTAATGTAATAACAAAGTTGAAATATTGCCAGATCGTTCAAACAGCTGATTTTGCAAATTCATTGAATGGTTCTAAACTTACATTCTAATGAAACTAAACGAAATACATTTCAATCAACGTATAGAATTAGCCATTTTTTCGTAATGTTTTATATAAATAAGTAAGTAAATGTTTTATTTCTAAATGATATTTGTATTGTTGGTTGGAGGTGGCAACGCTCATTAAGAACGCAACAGCTGTGTTGAGCAGCAGCGCAGCGATTTTTGGCGCGCTTTTTCTGGAGTGTTTTACACTTACGTTTCAATTTTATATGGAATGCTAATAAGTTGCCAACGATTCCCCGTAATTTTATATAGAAAGGCTCTTCAGTTGTGCACTCTATGGTAATTAAATTAATTAAATTTCTCGTAAATTACGATTTACAACTAAAGCAACACCACGCACCGCACTCACAATAACAAACTGTGTGACCAGGTTACGGGAGAGATTCATACCCTATTTTTTACATTTTTCAAGCGCGCCAAACAGAAGCAAAACACAAGTTTTCTACCTTTACGCACTTTATGTATAAATACTTTATGTCTAGTGTAAAAAAATGACATCACAATAATTAAACAACTTGTGCACCGTGGTCTGGACAGCTAGCACCACATTTAACACAACTAAAGTCAGCATCTGTTAATAAATTAGCGCTTAAGCAATAGTAACAGTAAATGTGTCCACAGCCCATGTGATGGGGCTGCGTTGGACGTTCTCCACAATATGTACAAGTGGTATTCGCAGTCATTTTGGCAGCAATCAGATCCCGCTTCAAACTCTCCCGTCGCTTGGTATGATGGTACTCCTCACCAAAGAATCCAGCCTTTAATAGTCTTTGGATTTTACGAAAATTAATTATTGGCAGCAAGAGACCCAGAATTTCCTGTAAGTGAAGACATGTTATTTGCTATCTTTATCTTTCTATTGATATCGTACCATAAATCCGCCCCAGAGCAATTCACGGGTGAGGTATTTGTAGCCAATATCGCGTCTTTGATTGTTACGCAAACTAATATAATCCAGTCCCAGCAGAAAGTCAATTAACGTAGGTTTCCGTCCCGTCTTTAGAAATCGAAAATAGTTAAGCACATTCAGAACAAGGGCGCTATTCTCTGTCCACGTTATGGCTCTGCTGAACCATTCGACGCGGCGTGATAGACGCCTCTCTTCCCAGCTCTTCACGTAGCCTGGAAGCACAGTTAACGCAAAATGCAAAGCCAAACGTGAAATTGTTAACTTTTCCGCATCGTAAGCTAAAACCAAAAGTTGTTGACCAAATGTGGAGCAACGTTTGCCCACAGAACCAAACCAGATAGCCGATTGTATAAGTAGATCCAACTCGGGTTGAATTCTGATAAAAAGCGCAGGCTGAAATTAGGTTAAGATTAGCTATTGAGGCAATATATAAGATAATATTTTAATACCCACTGATATTGCCTGTAAATTCTCTAGCAGGTTGTCCCGTATCATGCGGGCTATGTCTTTATTGAGATAAATGGCATCTATCTAAACGATAATATTAAGGATATCATTCAATGAATCATATTGTTGTTTAATTTATCCGTTTACCTGATTAACGCGCGGTACATATTTATTTTTGGCCAACATTTTTGTTTACATGCAGCGGATTCTCATCTGCCTGCTGTACTCTGCCCTTTTGTTATCATTCCTTGTATTCGTCAATGGGTAGGTGTGCACACATTGATAATTGCATGTTAACTAACAGTTGTCTAACAGTGCTGCTCCACAGCGGCGCGCTACTACTCCACATTTAAAATGCATTTTGAAGTTTTTCATCTTTACCAGTTTAAATATATTAATAAATCTCACTTGGCGTCTTTTGAATATATTTTATGACATTTAAGTCTTTATCAAACTATTTATTGCCAATTAATTATGTTTTGCCAACCATTTAGGAAGCAATTCGCATGTTATATAATTTCAATCAAAACAAATATTTAAAACCCGTTCAAAAGCGGAAAAAATGTTTGACGTTTTTCTTGTAATCACTTTTTATTGCTAACCAGTTGGACTTGTCACTTGTTTTAGACATACAAAAAACCCCATAAAAAATGGCTAATGTTAATGGCTTTAAGTGCAAGTTCATTGGCCAAATATAAAAAGGAAGTTAAATAAAAAAAAACTATTTTTCTTTTTTTGATTTTATAAAAAGTACATAATTCACATTGTCTTTATTACACAATTTACAATTCATTTGTTTTATGTTTATTTGTTTGTTCTCTGTAAAAACTCTTTTTACATATTTAATGAAATTATATATGGTATATAGATTGATAAATTCGTCTGAGTGAATGAACTAGAACTTAGAAGCGGATGAATCGTAGCAGATAAAATAGTGACTAAGAGACAGAGAGTGAGAGAGAGAAAGTGAGCTAAGAGTGAGTTAAGAATGTGTAGGTAGCTAGAGGAAATTAGTTGCTATCACAGAAATAAAATACAATGTAAAAATGATATATGAGTATTATGTAGTATTATAATGCCTGCACTCGGGCAAAGAGGAGTGCGCGGTGTTTATCAGTGTCCTAATTACGAGATATGAAGCTGATTACATTACATGGATCGTTCGATTGTATGTGTTTGAGGGTGTGTATGTGTGTGTGTTTGATGAAGCGACTTTATCAAGAAATTTGGCTAACTCTAGAAACATATATAGTTTTATATGGTCTCATGTTTGTTTTCTGCTCTCTTGGGTTTAAAGGCATTCGTTGCTTAATAGTGATGCTCGTGCAGATCATGGATCTCCTCATGGTGGTGCACTGGCGCTGTCTTGTGAACGACAGCATTGAAGCCATTGTGCTTGTCGGCGGTGTAGTCCACAGTGCGAATGGAACCATCGGGCTCCACCAGAGAGTATTGGCCCTTCACGGTGTCACCGTCGCGGGTCTCGTGCTGCGACTTGACATCGCCAGTGTGGAAGTCGTTGACGCCATACTTGAAGGCATACTTGGGAGGGGCCTAAGACACAGAGGAAGAGAGAGAGAGAGAGAGAATGTAAACTTACAATTATTGATTAGTCACCTCTCCCGTCCACTCACATAGTAATCCACATGCTCATCCTCTGTGTGATGCTGTTCCACCTCGTAGTGTGGTATCTCATGTCCATGCTCCTCGCCCAGGGAGATGCGCTCAATCTGATGCTGTCCATAGGCGTGTATCGGCGCCGCCTCGTGATGAGCCAGATGCTCATAGCCGCCGTGGCTCTCCTCATAATAATGATGTTGGTCCACCGGATAGGCCAAGCTCAAACAGAGAGCTGACGCCAAAATCAGATACTGCAATTGCATAATTAGACAGCGGACTTAGCTAATTGTTTGTTAACATCAGTCGGCCGAGGAGGTCTCGCAATTAGCGCTAAGTTCAACAAGTGTTTGCGAAAAACCTGCTCTCAACAACATCTCCTTTTCTTTTGYGGGTGTGTGTGTGTGCATTTTTAATAAAGTGTTTGTAGTGGCTGTGGCTGCTGTGGTTGTGGCTGTTTAGTGGCTTTTGCCACTTGGCTACACTCGACTTGAATTGTAACATTTACTTTAATTGTGGTTAGCTGCAACTTTTGTGGTGTTACAATTGTTGTTTTTTATTTCCATATCTGATATGAAAAGCAATATTTTCAAACGTTGTTTTTAGTTTATCGAAATCAAGTTAAAAATAACTTGATATCTGGAAAACTTATTTGAATCGTTCAATCAGCTCTTGAACTTGATTTCAATGATATATTTTGAATGAATATATTATGAAATATTTTGTAGTTTCTTTTTTTGAATGGCAAACTTATCGATGAAATGATAAAATGTATAATTTTAAATATCATTTACAATTTAAGCAACGTTTTTCCTTTTTTGAGTAAATCTTGACTACTTTAATTCTTAAGAGATGTATTGCACAAATATAAAAATGAATATAAATTTTTTCAATTTGCATACTTTTCCTGAATACCTTAATATATTTTTATATATTTTAGAAATTATTTTATA